CTGCAAATATTAGAGATATATTTACAGATATTTTTTTTAATATAATACACAATGTTATAAATAATGGATCAGCTGGAAATATCAAAGATAATACTATAATTTATATACTATGAATAATATAAAAATGTAAATTAATTTTTGACAAAAAAAAATCACAAAAATGCTAATATATAAACTATTTCAATTCAATTTTTATGCACGAATAATAAAAATATTCATTTATAATATTGAAGTTATTTTTAAAATAATTTATAATAATCTACGTAATAATGGTGATCATTATTTCACTTTAAATCCAAAAATAGTTGGATTTAAATTTATTTACTAAAATATAATACTCCCTCCCTTCCAAAATAAGTGTCCGATTTCATAAAAAAAATGCAAACAGATATATAACGTGTATTTTCACAACTAAACTGTAAAATAAAATGGAAAACATTTTAAATTAACAGTTATGAGTAACATTTAACAAATTAGTAACTATAAGCGGTCAAGTTCCTGACGTGCTAGCTCATGTGAGGAAGCCTGTAATCATTGCCCCCTTTATGAAGCATGGTCAATTATACACACTTCTGCAATATAATGAAAACACTATCTAGTTTTTAAGCGGATATTTCGTCCCAGGCTTTATATAAGGCCGCAATGGGATCATCAATACTGGACGGGGACTTTTTTGTTGTAATGGGTTTCTTTAACACCATTCAAGAGGACATTGAAATCGGGGTTGGTTAGTGGTTTACAAATCATTCTTATATTCCACCCATTTTCAGTACCAGTCCAAACAATTTTCTCATCATTATTCGCATTACCTTGCTGGATTTTGATTGGCATGGTTCTACTACCAATAAGCTCTGCAATTGTTCGAATATAGACTTATTAGGTAGTTTTTACAATGACGACTGTAATAATTAACCTTAAACAAATCATCAGAGGGTAAAAAACAAACTAATAATTGTTATAAAAATTTACCTGTTCACTACAAAAACTATTTTAATAAATGTAAAACTTCAGGCGGCTACTGGATTTATTTTTCCATGCTTAATGTAAATAAATAAGTACTAATACATTTAATTTCATTAGTTCAATAATCCATTAAAAAAACTAAAATTGGATAATTAGAACGGAAAGAGTATTATTATCTAACTATCATTTATTTACTTTGAAATCATGAACGAAATATTCACAATGAATGGAATTTTAACAACACAAAAGAAACAATTAATATTTTTATACAGAGGAAAGTTGTTTTTTTTTTTCTTCATTTCAAATAATAATCCGCTTATTTGATTGCCTTCGTGAGCGTATTGAATTTATATAAGACGGATGGACGCATTCATGGACTTTGTAGAAAAGTCGAGAATAGAAACGCTTTCATTATGTATTTTCTATGAACGGAGAAATCGGAATAGCATATTTTTATATAAAAAAATATTCAATTTCACTTCAGCATCGGTAAATCTACAGTTAGTGGATTTTTGTGTCAGAATAAGTTGAAATATAGATTTCAGATTTTAATTTAATATATTTTTTCTCTATTACATTTCATGTCATTTATCATTTAAATAAATTAGTAAACATTTAAATTATTATGTTTTATTAACTTCTTAGAATCTGAATTAAATGTATTAATAAATATATATTTGATTAATATTTTGAAGAAAAAAAATACATAAAAATGTTCTTTTAATTTTGTAAACTGCGTACATACTATAGCAATACATCGCATAGTTCTGGTAATTAATTCCGAACATTTCCTAGACTGTTTGAAACCGGATTAAGCGAGGAACTACTACCGGCAAGGTAGTAGACTTGACTGTATTAATGGAAAATTATTCTTTTACGTATATTTTTTCGAATTTATTTTAACTTTTATATAATTTAGATAATATCACCAATTTCAGTATTATATAACTTAAACGATGTTTATTTAATAACTAACAAAAATGAAAAAATCATATAATTATGATTAAAGTTAATGACAATTACAAAAGTAAATATTATTCAAATTAATAGGATTGAACTGTACACGGTGCAGGGCATTAAAATTGGACGGGATGTTGGAATAAAAATGCTTTTGTACCAAACCTCATTTACAGCATATCGATTTCACTGGATCAACATTTAATTGTCGAGCAAAATCGTGTAATCAATCATTGATTGTGCTTATAATTAATTACCGAGTCGGCGTTTATGCTTTTGACAGTTATGAAAAGTTTCACTTTCCTCGAAAATTCAACCCCCCCAAAACTAATTAGTAAAAAATATATATACGTACGTACGTACATGATGCAATCAGCTCGCAGAAACAATTACAATGCAGATTGAAAAATAAAGTGAATTATAAGCGTTTCCGATTCTCTGATTGATCGGTGATGTACATGATGGTCATTAGTCTGCGAGTTTGTGCATATAGATATACTGTGCGTGTATAGGATGGGATTATAGTCGGGGAAAGTGTATATATTTCGGCGAGTCCAAGCCGCCCATAAACCTTGGTTTCGTACAATATATTTTGTTAACTAAAGCCTCGCCCTCGTTGGGAGGTCTTATAGATATTAACCATCCCTTAATATTTATAGCGTTTTGAATTAAATCGTTATCTCTGTTTTTGTTTCGTTTTATTACTTCTACGTACTCGACATCAATTTGTTTTTTTATTATGTCGTTTGCTTTGTTACCTAAATTCTAATAAAAATATTATATAGCCCTTCCGAATTTATCATCAGAATTAAATTATATTTAAAAACTTTCAAAACATAATTTTACGTTTTATTTTTATATAGTTTTATCATAAAGATTATGAAATTATAATAGAATAACATATTTATTTTTATAAATAGAATACCCCAAGGCAATGTACTTGGTGCTTCTTTGAAGTATGTAATTAACAAACCAGTTAAAAGACTTGGACATTAATTTTATAGTAGATATTTACTAGGGTTTGTCGGTTTTTAAAACACGTCTCTATTACGTGAATTAAATAAAATGAAAACTGAAATTAGTTCATTTTATTTTGGTAAGGTTTTTAGTTATTTAACAAAATTCACAGAACTTTTAGACAAAGTCGTTCTTTAGATTCAACTTCAAAAAGTGAGATCGTTAAGTATAGAAGATGACTACGATGATGAAAAAAGCGGCGATGAAGTAAATCAAATAATGGCTTGTTTTTAAAAAGCAATCAATAAATATCTTCAAGAACCTGAAGATCTGATTAGAAAAGTAAATTTTAGTATTAAAGTACAAAGAGAAGAAAAAATAATTTAGTTAATTATTTAATGATCTAAAACAAACCCAGCTTGTTACCAACTTAACAATAGAAAATAAGTTGTAAAAATCGTTTTTCTCTATCTTTTTTGTGAAAATTCGAAAAATGGTTAGACCCCAAATAATTTTATATGTATTTACAATTATATACATATAATAAATTACTATTATATGAAGTTATAAATATATTTTTCAAAAATTATATAATATAATTTCTCCGGATATGAGATATTCAATTATTAATATGAATATTAGCATATGCAGTTTATGCATGTATAAATTAGAGCTTATTACTTTAGCAAATGGTTTCCGTTGTTACAAAGTACTCTTTTATGGGATTCTGAATGGTATGCTACTCTGTGACATAACGTCACACATTCAAGTAATGTCTCTTACCAGTGTTGCTTAAATTCAGCAAACGTTCGCTCATAAAGTACGCCACTTGGCGTTGCATAATTAACTTTAGTAAAATAAATTTTGTCCATTTATCATAATTATAAAGAATAAACATTTTTGCTACAATTGCAACAATTACATTATTATTGTTTTTAAGTATTTTTTCAAAATTGAAAACATTAAAGATGTTTGAAAACCAAATTTGTTTGAGTATCGAATTGCTTATCAAATCATTATAATAGTATCTAAAAATCGAATACGAAAAAATAAATAAAAAATCATAGTAAGAAAATAGATTTTACTTCAGGTAACGGAGATTTCTAAAACTTATATCAATAAATTTAGACTGTATCAAAACAATCTGTTCATCAATGTGAACAATGAGTAAATTTAAGATCGCGGTTGATATTAGGTAGGTAATTATTCCCGGTGGATAGTTACCATTATGATGATTTTTAATTTTTAATTTGTAGGTTGGCTGTCGTGTTATATGTTAATTTCAGTAGTATATTGATGCTCTGCGATTCTACTATTTCTTTTCATTGTGAATCTGCTGTTATCTTCTGCATAACACCGTTATTGTCCATCGACGTAGCTGAAGGTCCATATGCTGAACCTCATTAATTTCACTGTCCATCTGTAATGCACCGAGAGGGCTCACAAAGGGCCTGGCTTGATTCGAACCTGTGCCCACTAGCACGTGGGTAGGACGACTTAATCATTCGGCTATTAGTCGCCCTGAAAAGTTATAAAATTCATATTATCTTATGAAATACTAGATATTTTTCATATTCAAACATTTATGTCAAAACTATTTTTTTTACAATTTGTAAAGTTAGTTTGGACATGTTTTTAGTTCAACGAAATTCAAATATATGATAAAATAAATATATTTCGTGATTAAAATGTTGTATTGGATATTTCTGCATATAGAAGTATAACGATTATATAATCACACTTATACGTCCATTCGTTTAATGAATACCTACACAATCCTATTAGAGGTATCTTTTTGCTCGTCTACGTATGTATGTATAATTCACATAAACGTTCCGCAATCCGAGAGCTGTTACTAATTAAGTATCGTAGTGGTAATTGAATTAACATGCCGTACGGGATAAGTTGAGAGGAGGAAGCGTTTGCTGAAGGAGGAGGGCTAATACCGCCATCCGCTTATCCAATGATTTATACCGGCTCGGTCAGCTCCGTTAAATACTGCCCTCTTTAAACCTCTATTATGTCGTAATTAATATCCCGGCAACAAATCGAGCGGTGATTCAGATCGATCGATTCTTCAACTCTAGTATACTAAAAGTTTTCTTTTTCTGTTTTGTTTTCAGGTGAAAGACCCTTTCCCTGCAGCTGGGAAGGATGCGGCAAGAGGTTTGCAAGGTCCGATGAGCTCGCAAGACATACGAGGACCCACACGGGCGAAAAGAACTTCGCCTGTCCGGTTTGCAACAAGAAATTTATGCGGAGCGATCATCTCAGGTAAATGATCGTCCTTATTCGTTTCATTTCATTCTTTGATCCAGAGTAGGTGTAGCTCTCCGCTTTATTTTCATTACTTTTTTTTTACTGCTGCTCTCATCGATTCAGACTGCTTTTAGGCATTGAAAAGAGGTTATGAGATCATATGGTATCATCAAAGTTGTTTTAGCACAACTACGTAGCGCGTCAAAAGGCATTATGTTCGGTTGGATGTACGGAGCGTCGGCCACCTACCTACTCCAATGCATGATCGCTTCGCAAATGCTTTAGCAACGCAAAGATGATTGATATGTAGATGCACATGCTTTGACAACATTATTCAATATAATACATGTTGCTTCTGCATTAAAACGGCACACTGTGAAAAATAAATGTGCCTTCGACATCTAAAAAATAAATTTAATTTAAAATAAAAATATTTCTTATAAATATTTATAAGATTTTTCTACAAATAAAATAGATATAACGTAATAATTGTTAATTAAGAATAAATCAATGCATCACCTCTTTTAATTCTTAATAAAAACGTACAATTTTCGATTCAACGTTCACGTACAACTTTCAAAATAAGTCTTCACCGAACTATCATCAAAATATTCGTAAGAACGTACACTTTCTATATGTATTATGATTGTCGACTGAATTATTATTTTATATAAAAAAAAACGAATTTTATTCCTAAATTAAATATTATAATTATTAACAATAATTCAATTGTAAAAAAAAACTACTTTAAAAAAAACTATTTTGGAATTTTTGTAGAAGTTCTTAAGATTTGGTAATTTAAGTTTTAAACTTTATGAATTAACAAAATTTTAATCATAAATTTAATATATACCTTATGATTAATAACTTGAAGAGTATTTGACAAGTTTATGAAACTATGTTTAATCAATATTATGGATATAGTATTTTATATACACTAGATTTTAAGTAAAATTATATTAGTAACTTTATCATTATTAATAGTAAGTAAGCAGATGAATATAATTTATATTCTATATAAAATTCAATCAACAAAAATCATCTTCGCTTTAGCCTAGTTTAATAATTAATTGCAACTAATGCGAAAGGTATAACAAAAAAGGATACATTCTGGGCTCCTCTATGTATGTGTTTTCATATTATTTTATTTATATATTTTTTTTAACGCTGGACATCTGCGCCATATTGTCAAGACGTGACAGTAATTCGCGAAGCCAACGAGCGTTTCCATTCGGTTTTTTTTGTCTTTCTTTATCCCTGTTTTCAGGGTGGCTCCAGAGGGATGACGTGTGCGTGTGTGTGTTGTGTGTACGTATGTGCATGGGTTTGAATGTGTGTACGAACGCAGTTTAGTTTTTCCAGACGCCCAAAAAAGCTTTTACTTAAAGCTTGTGCTGGTTGTGTATCGCTCTACACCAGATATTAGATTTCTCGACACGCACGTGGATAAGTTTCCATTTGTTCGTCTCGCTCGACTGTCCCCCATATTTAGTTTAAAAACTAAAGCGAATCGACTCCCTTCAATTCCACTTCCACATTAAAAACCCTCACAAAAAAAACGTAGAAAATAATCAATTTGTCATTTCTTTCTAAAACAAATTAAAAATAAAATTTCAATACACATTTTTCTACGAGATATTTGAACTAATACGAAAAGTTTTGTTTTCTTTAACGATTTTTTTTACCTAACGTATAAATAATAAATAAACTTTTCAAATTAAACGTTTTCATTGAAAAATTGTATTATTTTTATTACAATTACAAAAAAACAGAAAACAGAATAAGGACATAACTTTTTTTTCCTATAATTTAATATGTAAATCATTTATTATTAAATTTAACAAAATTTGTTTTAATCAAATTTACATATTTGATAAACATCATTTGATTCTAGAAAAATGACCAAAATCATAATAAAAATAATATTTATATTCATATTTTATTATCATGAAACATTTAATTTTCTTCATATATTATATAATACGAATATCTTGTATTAGCGAATCTAATCTATAAGTTACTAATTAAACTGCTTAGTTTTATTATTTTTTTAATTCGAAATGCTTTCTAATTTAATATTTAAATCGTCCAGTAATATATGTCTGCCTTTATTAATTTGTATTATATAAATGACTAATTCTCACTACGACTTTATTAAAAGTTGTACCTATTGTTGGAATACGAACACGGACAATGGTAATTTCAATTGCGTTCGGCTTAAAAGCTCATGACAATGTACAAGGAGCTCTCCTTTCAATCCCGTATTGTGTCTGAATTGAAATCAAGCACTTGGAGCAATTGCAAAGCGATTTAATTGGACGACCCAACTACAGTTTTACATTGCGAAATTGCAATTAACGTGCATTAAAATTTTGCACGACAGATACGTTTTTTTTTTCTATAATTTGTATGCAAATACGTAATACTAGAAGCTATAATTGGCAATTAATAAATCATAATGATGGATCTTAGGTGTTATTCTTTATATAGAAATAAAGCAATATAATTATAAAGAACATTATTTTACTGAAAAACAGAAATGACCAATTTAATTTAAAAGGATGATTATTGTTATTAAAAAACATAAATATTATTACTAAAATATTTTATTTAAAATATTACTATTTATCTTTATTATCAAATAGTTTAATTCACAGGTAAAATTTTTAGGTGTAACCACACTACGTCCTATAAGTCACGCATGGAATTTATCAGTGTTGTTGCACCACTAGGTTTTGAGAATATATACATGTTTCTATTAAATGTCAATGTTAATTATTATTAGTACTTATACTTGCCTAAATAGTAATGAACCCAAAGTCCTTCATTCTTGTGATGTGTGCAAAAGGATACATTATTTAATTTGTTATTATACGAAATCATCTTTATTTATGAAAATTATAAAGAGTTAACTTTAGTAAAAATAGAATTTCTCATAAATTTGTTATTTGACGCTATATTAATCTGATGTTATTGAAAAAATGTTTCTTGTGTTAAGATATATATCGTATATATTTTATTAGTTTCCTACTCTTCATCATATTTTCTTCGTGCCACGAGGCGACTCAATCGCAGCTGCTTTTCCACATAATTGAACAGAATGATTGCTTCAATTATTATCTGCAAGATTGGCCGTCCTCGTCCCAATCGTTACATTTATTTATAATCGAATTTACTATTATATCGGTTTGATGAAAAGATAATCGAGATTAATTATTAAAATGTTCGTTCGATCGGAGCGAACCCTTTTAATTGAATTAACGCGCAATTACCTGGAAGTCAATTTAACTTTCCATAAAAATTCATTTTCCATTACTAGTAAAATATGCAGTCATTTATTTTACATAAGTATATTGGGTTGGCAACAAAGTAATTGCCGATTTTAAATTTGGATGAGTTCATTTGAATTACTTCTATCAATGTTACAATTATATAGTTGTGGCACTTGTTAGGTGAGAACTTTAGCTTTCTTAACGCTTTCCAGTCCAAATATGTTTTCCAATAAAAAAAAAGTTTTATTCAAATCACAAAATTATTTTGTATACATAAATAATAAGTTTTTTTATTGTATACTCTCGAGTCTTGTTTTGTATTGTGTATTTTTATGCGGTTTTAAAGTTCTCGTTTGGTGCGGAACAGTTTTTTTTATATAAAAACTTCTTATTTCTAAAGTGTATGTATGGAAATTAAAAATTTAAATAGTTATTTATATTTATGTCACGTTGAACCTATCAGCAAATGGATCATCTATCATATTTAAATGTTCCAATTTTACTTCAAAGACTAAACTCGTTAAGTTTTATACATATCCTATCAAAAATCTTCAATATTCTTCTAAGCATGACATCAATATGATAAAATAAATTCCAGATAAAGTATAAAATACTGAAATAATATATTGATTTTTATTATTTATTTTCACATTATATTAATTATGTCTAGACAATATAAAATTTTAGTTTATAATGGAATTTAATATCACTCATTTCCAAGCATATTATTAATTGATCAAATGGTTAAAAAATGGAAATTAGTAGTAAATTAATATAAATAAATGCTTACAAAATAATTAAATGACTTTGTATGTTATTACACAAGAAGTTATATTTATTATTATTAACAAAAAGACTTTACTAAAAATGTTCATCTAAAACTCGTTTTATAAAGAAATATATAAAATATAGATCGACTATATAAAAAATTAATATGCCAATGCATGAAATCAAATTGTACGTTCGTGTGAAGAAAGAGATTAAAGAAGATCGTTAATTATAATCATAGTGCAATTCACGTATATTCGTTTAACTAAAGTTATTTTTTGTATGGATTATGTCGTTAACTGAATTCTGAGTGTATTGATTAAAATAGATTGCAATTTTAATGACAAAAAAACAGTATAAATCGAATAAAATGATTATTCAAGCAATAAATTTCATTAAAAATCGATCAAAGTGCAGTGTTTAAGGATCCTGTACAATCAATTTAAATAAAAAAATCAGATCCGTAGTTGTAACTTGTGTATAAATAAATTACCTAGAGTAGGATTAAATCTTTGAACATAAACATAAATCTGTGAAACAGGTGATTGCATTGATTTACGATATATTTGAAACAATAAATATTGCGGTTTAAATGCGATGCTCGGGTGGTTTAGGTAGGTGTGTGTGTTTGCGGAGGCGGTTTTCAATTTCAATATTATTGTAATGAGGGCCTCATTTGGCACTAACGGTTCCCCATTATGATAAGAGATTCAATAAAGCAGAAGTGTCGGGAAGGCGGTCGTAGAATAACTTTGGTAAATATACGCGGGGGCCGCCGAGCCGCCGTTTCGCCACCGCCAGCCAACCGCCGCCCGCACCAAGTGGAATTTCCTTTTGTTTTTCCCACTCATATTTTAAGCGGTAAGGGGGCGGCGACATTTAATATTAAATTTAGCCAAGTTTGTTGTTTGTAATGCCCTGGTAAATGTGTAAAGTTTATTACGAATTTGCATAATTTATTCGATGTCATACTTATTTTCATTTTACGCTATAAAGAGTTTTATAACTCACTCGGTATATTTTGATTTAGCTGCGACACGACCCCAACAATTTCAGATAATTTATATATTTATATTTATTTTTGTCTGTCATTCCATGCACTTTTTTTTCACTTTGACACTCACGCACTTGCATCCGATTTAATGTTTATCCCAGCTTGCACCCAATAACTTAAACTAAATACTTACTAAATGGAATCCCTATAAACCATACTTATATATGATATTGCAATTTTTTTAAATATAGTATAGATTAGCACTAGAGCAAACTAAAAGTCACCCAAGAAAAAAATGTACGTTCGTATGAACATGTACTTGAAAATACATGAAATATACACAGAAATCTCAAATAAATGTATTTTTAAGGCAAGTACCTTATTAATGTACACATTTTTTATTTATTTCTTTGTTAAATTTAGTAAAAAAAAAGAAAACTTACTTACATATTTATACTATTCTCCTAACATACTATTCACACGAACATCCAGATTTTTTCCATTGTTTTGAAAATTACAAAAGTAGCATTTTGACCGGCATCGTCTGAAGGTTGGTACTTCCTAAAAATTATATGAATTTGTCGATAGAGGCGCCATCTATATGTCATCCTACGAACTTATTGAGTGAGATGTTATATTTCGTTACAGGGTCGCTCTTTATACGGCTTTTTCGCTATAAGGGCTTTCTTTAATTATGGCACTTTTTCGATTTACGGTATTTTTAATTAATAACTATAAAATAACGAATATACAATAATGAGCACTAGACATTTTTTTGTTATGTAATAATGGTTGTTTCTCTCAATAATTATTGTTATGTAATCATGTTACAGTAACCATGATTTGCGTTCAACCCTCTATACAATTATCGTATTTTGATAACATGCACCCGATGTAATTGATGTCCTTCCTGCTCGTATTCTCACAGCATATTCGCTTCATGGGAGGACGTAAATTGCACCAATTAATATCCTTTTGTACAACGCTAATAAGATCCTTGATTCGACTCATTTGTTGCAGCAAACACGCCAGGCGACATCCGAATTTTGATCCTTCGGTGCTGCGACAAAGGCGCGCCCCCAACAGGGCCTTCTCCATCAACTCCAGTGACGGAACACCCTCGGACGTCCTTTCAGATTCCATGCCGAGTCCTTAAGCGCAACGCTAACAAAGAAAACAACACGAAGAATAATAATTTTTAATAAAAGAAAAAAATAATAACATGTGTATAGTCCTTAAACGAATTAATTAGTTTGTTTTTATTGTATTAATTAATTTTCATTACTATTGGGAAAAAAAATGAAGTTGCAGAAAGTGATTCGGTGATAATTAGGTTTAGTTGTATCGGGAAGAATTTATCAATAGCGAATTTTATTTGTATACGCAGTTAGGGCATTTCTTTTACATATATAAATATAAAAAAATAACTAAACTATAATATAATCTACTGTATATAATCATAATTTTTGTTTTACAAGAAACTGTACATACTTCAAGCTAACAAAGCAACAACTAAAGTAATCATTAGTTTGTGTTCCTTTGGTTACGTTATTAGATTAATCGTTATTAGTTTAAGATCAAATATTATTTTTAATTTAATTATATTTTTTTGGTAGCCATTGTATTATACTTGATTTCAATTAAAATTTTCTTTTTATTTGCTTTATTTTTTATTTACTTTTTAATGATGTTTATTCCCTTATTTCTGTATTTTTCTATTTGGTTTACATCCTTATTTTATATGTTACGTGACTATTACTCGAAGGAACAAGTAGTTAACATGATAACAGTTGTAGCTGTTTTTTTTTCACTTTATGAGGCGCAATAACGCCGTTTTAATTAATCCAATGGCTGCATTTTTACCCTCGCCGAATCCACCACCCTCTAATTCTTCCCCTCCCAACAAGCACGACCCGTTTATTCGGTCATCAAATATTATTTTTTGTACTGTTATTTCTAACATTTAACGCTTATTCAAAAGGATTCTTATGAGAGAGGTATGTGTACATACTAAAGAATAAATAAGTTTAGGAACAAAACACTAAATAAAGAACTATATGAGATTGACAATATATCGGGTAAAATTGATAGATTATGTAAGCGAAACAAAAAAAATGTGTGCGCGTTGTTTTTTTCCGGTTTACTGTATCTTTTTTTTCAAACGTGGATTCGATGGATCCGTTCTGCTGGTGACGACAGCTTTTCGAAATGAGCACTGCGCGTGAAATTGCCCATTAATATTTACACAAGTGCTACTAACAGTTTTGACAGTCAACCGATACTCTCCTGAAAACAGAAACAAAAGCAAAACAAAAAATAACATAAAATGTATATACAAATTCTCACATTCATTTCCACCCCACGGTGTATAAAAAAAGGTGACATATCATTCTCTTATATATATTTTTTTCTTTTCTGCCCCTGCACGAAATTGCCTCACCCATTTCACAACTTTGTAAGCTTTTCTAGAGACATCCCGCACAATCTTGACCAATTCTTAGATGCACCTGGAGGAATTTAGGATATTTTTATATAAATAACGAACGAAAAGGAACAAAAAAATGTAATTATATAAAACAACAACACGATTTCAAAGAAATTGTGTGAAACTCGAAACGCTTCTTGTACCTTAATCCTGCAAATTATATCAACTTTATATTGTAAACGTGAATGAAGATTACCTAACGTAGAGTATATAAATTTATATATATGAAGATGAATATTACTATATTTGTAAATATTGTACATAGTTTTGTTATTCGATGCGGCGGACAACTGAAGAAGATCCGGGCGTCCCGGGCGGAGATATCCCACCCCTTCGTAAGTTCATCATCACCCTTCTATTGTCCCACCTACTTTGTTGCGAATGTTGCATAACGATTACGTAAACCGTGCAAGCTTCTGCCGTCTCGGAATTTTTGGAATGAGCCGGGCGACAAACAAAAGAGCATTGTCACCGAATATTCGAGGCGTGAAGTAGTCGTTAAATCTGCAACGCACGACGCTTCATCAACAACCCAACACTTCTTCTTGCATTGTTGAACTCCTTCATATCAATTAAACGGCATGGGACGCCGGGGAAAAAAATAAAATAAGTGTATTATGAAAAGAAAACAGTTACAAAAGAAAGGGGAAAAAAGGAATAATTATATATGTTACATAACAGATTGTCGATGCGCTGTGTTTTTTTACGTTGAAAGAATGTTCTAGGTGAATTTGGTTTTACGTCACTGAGCAAAACAAGATTAAAAATAAATAAAAGAAAAAATAGAATTTCGTCCATTGTATTTAGAAACGCGTCCATTTAATTAAATAATTAGTGTATCGAAGTAAATAAACAGAAACACGTGGGAGCTTGGTGATACTATGTTGTTGTTTTTTTCGTAATTATTATTATTTCTTAATTAATTTTATTTTAATTACATTTTTTTTTGGTAGGTTTTTAGGGGACCATAAGTCTTACATTTTTCTCTCTCAATCACAAATAATAATAAAAAAGATCGCTTTGAAAAATAATCAAAAAAACAAAAAGAACTCGAACGACTGATTGTTGAAATCAAATATGACTTTTAAACCCCCTTTTCCAGAAGATGAAAAAATAACACGTAAAAACTTAAACAGTTTTCATTTCTTGCTTAAATTTAAAATCAGTATTAAAACTAATGTAAGACTTATAGAAAGAAATAATTAATATGAAAAATAAATAAATATAATTAAAAAAATAAAATGAAATGAAATGAATTGAAAATATGAAGACTTTGTAATTGAAGATGTTTTGTATATAAACTAGACTGCTGTTTAGTGAACGTTTATCGGAGAAGAGGAGGAATTTGTTGAACAAAGAGAATTATTTTGGCGCGAATTTTATAAAAAAAATATATTATATGAAACAATATTAAATAAAGAAGAATTATATATATATGATAAAATGCTCATTTGTAACAATTCTTGTTTTGTTGTACATATGGAGACAAATCATGATAGCACAAAGTATTTAAATAAAAATGAGAATGTTTTCACGTGGTAATCCGAGGAGAATAAAATATTAAACTAATTTGTATGTATATATTATTATTATTAATTATTATTATTATTATTATGTAAATGATTATATTGATATGTTAACAGAATAAATTTTGGGAAAAAAATAAGGGGTAGCATAAAATTCGTGTGGTACAAATTATAAAACAGTTGTACATTATACAAATATTTTAAGAATATATGAATAAAAAGTATTATATGGAATTGTTGATTTATTAACATTATTTTTTATTGTGCAGAAATTTTATTTAGTTTAATAAATTTTTCAGTTATAGACAATAAATATTTATTAGAAAAAAAAAATGAATGAAGGTAAGTGATATATCAAATTTAAATTATATTATTTTTGTAGGCATAAACCAATGATCTATAAGTTTTTTTTTAATAATAAGTAATATATTATTATATTATTATGTATTACATGATTTTGTACAATAAGATTCTGAATATCGTATTGAACGTTTCGTTTACACGATTTGGTATAGTGGTTAAGAAATCGTTTTAAAATAATAATACGTTTTCATTTAACACGATTTTATCACCAAGATTTAGTTTGACAAAATAGAACTAAATAAACATACTATTCGAAATCCTACAATAGATTCATTTACGAATCAAGCCTGTTCATGTATTTTATGGATAAAACTATGGCAACCTCTTCCGGTGTCTTTATTTTCTAATATAATATTAGATGAGTTTGCAGTTTCCCACAATTGGATACCGTATGACCAAACAGGTTTATGACTTTGTATACTAGTAACTTGTTTTCCAAAGTCAACTGCGAATTTGCGCGCAGTTACCAATACAACGTTTTAAATGTTATTTCTTGTTATTCGCGCTTTGCCTGAATATGCTCCTTCCAAATAATATTTGTGCCAAAGTGCAGTCGCAAGTATCTCACCCTAGAAGATATTGGAACCACTTTTTTGTGTTTGGTTGGAGAACATGTGTCTCGAAGGTAAAATGCGCCGATTTTGACAATGTACACCATGAAGTTGGCCAGGAACGCTTAGCACGGGGAAGTTAAGCATGGAGAAGATTATTCTTAGTTAAATAGTAGTTTAATAAAGAGTATTAGTTTAGTAGTTGAATAGAGTTTTAGTTAAGAATTGTATTAAGTATAGAAGTGTAAAATGTAGTAATAATACCCGCGCAACTAAGTCCTTCGTCCAAAACAACTGGTTTATACCAATTCGCTATTTCCTGAACCATACCACAAGCAAATTAACCTCTTCTTGAAGATGTGTAGATGCAATTATGAGGCTTTCGTCTCATGCCATGATTACAGTGCCGTCTGCAAATGTTGCCAATGTTTGTTTTGTCTGTTTTTAGTATATTTGTAGTATATAAAAGATATCAAATTGGGCCGAGGAACGCCCGATTCGATAAGTCCAATAAGACTCAGCTTAGTTTGTGTTTCCTCCAATTTGTTAAAACACTTTCTATCATTAAGGTAGGATTTCAAGACTTCATAATAATTCTGTAGTTCATTTTTGGCTTGTATGCCAACTAGTCGATTATTTTTTCTATCGTACTATGTTCTCTACAAAATCCAAACTAGTGATCTGGTATGAGTCCGTTTTCCGTAGAATATGTGTTCTAGTCTCTTTATGAAAAGTTTTTCAAATACTTTCAAAAATAATGATAGTAAACTAGTAAACGAATCAGATTATATCCTGGTGATTTTCTTGGTTTATTTTTTTTCCTCATCTTTTTTTGAATTGCGATTCTATTGGTCTAAAAACGTTGATTCTTCTAATATATATGTTTTTTCAACCCATGTTCTTGTCCATTTCCTATTAAATATACGAAATTATGTAGTAAAAAATCGTATTAGTGTTATACTTTTAATTACTATAAATTTGTCTTTAATTACTTATTAATTATTAGAATTAAAATTTAAGAAATTAATTCTTATTTTTCAGTGAGCAAATCTCATTTAATTGTAAATAATATAACTTATAATTACTTTTGCTAAGAAATATTGAGGTGTTCTTATCAATATAATTGTTGTGAGTAAATAAGAATGTATCTATAGCCAGACTAACTTTCTAATTATAATAACATTCTAATCTATATCCCGCACTGTTTGAAACCGGACTAAGCGAGATATTGCTGTACTAATATTATTGCAATCGATTAAAAAACATAACGTAGAAAAAAATATTATTTGTTAAAGGAAAAAGAACTGACATTATTTTTATTCCACTCCAAATATGCTTTTCATGTCGTTTTAGAGTAATGCGACTACAGAAAGCAATATTAATGTTGCGTTGCTAAGTGATATCGATTCAACGAACCCGTTTTCCCAAATATATTCGTAGTGACAGACGGTCCACATTTTTTGTCTCCATTTTACCAAGCTTTATTTCCTTTAATTAATATCGAAAATGTCGGAAGGGGTGCTTTGTGATGGAAATAAGGCTGCGAAAACAGCTAAGCCCAGAGAGGAGCCAGAAGTGTGCTGGGAGGAAATGTATAGAAATGATAGTAGGAAATGGATTTTAAGGGACGGAACGACAACGGGTTCAGTAAAAGTTTCAACGGTGAAGGACTCCTATCGTTTTCCAGAAGAGAAATCCCTGTCTCCACTTTTAGGTAAGATACAATTAGAAACGGAAAGAAGATGAAGAAGAAGGCGTAAAACAAAAAGAGTTGAAAGGCACGAAAACACTGTATAAGGTGAAAAGTTTCTTTGATCAAACTGGATTTACTTTTGAACGGATGACATGAACTTTGAGCCGGTAATTTGTTATATAATGCACGTTTAATGCGGCAGTTTCTATTTAGGTCGACGTGCGCGGATCATACGTGAACAGTTTTTAAAGGAAGCCGAGCAAGAGGTTCAGATGGAATCAAACAAGCCGCCTGAAATTGAAGACTACATAACATCGTACGATTGCGATTATCGTACCACTATCCCCGGCTTCGTTCCGCAATACGAAATCAAGAAGAATCCCGAGGTCGGAGATGGCAACGATCGCGAAACACACACGTTTATTAATATAGCTTGTATCATTTTTGCAGTTGTTCTGTAAGTATCCGCTGTACGCATCTCACGGGATGACTTACTGGAGATTCCAACACGAAAAGGGTTTCGGCAATCCCACGCAGATACCTGGTCAAACTGTTGCAAACAACATCGACAATCCTTTCAAAAGGAACTCCAATTTTAGTAAACCCATTACAGAGAAAGACGGGGATGTTTCGCACTGATTTCATAAAATAGTATAGTTCCCAATAATATAAATATACAAGGTATTATATTGATATGTATTGTATTCATATTAACACCTCGACGAATCAAAATTCATATTTATAGCATAACACGTTTTTTATTTAGAAAATTACATATTAACGAAATATTCGCGCGCACTTCACTCAGCTTGAAGATTCAAGGTCACCCGAAATAAGCTTGTACATTTATACCATATCATAAAGAGATAAAACACATTGTGAAATAATTACCCTGTATACTTATATCGTCATAGTTCTATAAGAAAGTGTAAGAGAATTTGAAAAATTATCCAAGATTTATTTCAATGCTTGAGCGCGTCACGAAATTGATTGCTCTAATGCTGAAAGTTGCTTGTATCTCATTAATATCTATTAATTACGAGTTATTAGTTTAAATAATGTAGGGCGCATTTCAGCTTCAGCCCGAATTAATCAAACTTAAAAGTAAATTAATTCAAGAATATAAAAACTACACTTATTTTTGAGTGTTCCGTAACCGTCCTCCCGTCGCTCATGAAATATTCAACTTGGTGACACTTTTCTAATAAATCCTCATTCCGAACTCCTTTTTTTGTGTATGTATATATATTTGTGTATCAGTTTGACACAAATGATTTACTTCTTGTAATTACATCTATGAATCTCGACAATGCACAACGTTGAAACAATAAAACCAATGTTGTGATATTTGTTTTTATACTCATTTAACAAACCACGACAAAATTAAAGAACTAATCAGTAATTAACTAAATTAGTGTTATGAACTTTTTTACGTCATTTTGATGTTAGTATATGATAATTTTGAATACATACATTTTCATAATTAAAAACATTATTTTGAAAGTGGCCTAAGTTCACTTCATTATTGATATTGTCTGAAAGTGCGCATCTTCAAATTTCTATAGATAGCGATGAAGATATTATTATCGCAAAGGTAATAACTTTATTCTAAATGAAATGAAACAAGAAGATTTCATACCAACAAGTTTCTTGAAGGATTCAGTTAAAAAATCTAACTGAGAAACAATAAATTTATTTATTTATTTTTTAATTAACCATATAAAATTTTCTAAGACATCAATGAATGAGAATGCAGAGTTTATTTTCTGAATTAGTTATTATTTGGTAGAGCAAGAAAATTCTAAAATATTTGTAAAAAAAATAATACAAATTACAACATCAAAAGATTTGATTAGTATATAAGTATATATAGATTATAAGTATATATTTAATTTTATTGAAACGCAAACTCATAAACATGTCAAACTAAATATAAATGGACTTAGGTCACTTTCTAAATAAACGGCTCATTATTTTTTGTATTTCTCTATCTTATAAATCTGGTTTATATACAAAAAAAATGCGTGGACATACTTATAAATTTAAAATGAATCATATCTTATAAAACCTAAGGAGACGATCCAATTCTTATTTTTACATGGATTTATATTAAAACAGACTAAATTAGATAAATACATTTATATAATTTAGTTTAAATTACAAAGTTTTCGAATAAACCGCAAATGCCTCAATAAACTACTGGTCTAACTAAAGATTAAGTTAGTGCAACATTACAAATATCGACAAAACAAAGTTATTGAACTGGAAGCAATTTAACAATGTAACAAACTGTATATAGTGACGAATTAGTATTAGCCGCAGCCGAAGTTTACTATTAGTTTTACGACACCTGGATTTTATCGGTCCAGAAACCAATCAATAGCAGTTGCAAAAGCAGTGACAAACTTTGTTCGAGTCATGTAACTATTACAATATTACAATAAATTCCGTCTCCAATATCACTATTGTTTTATGATTTCCTTCGTTGATTACGTGAGATGTGTACTTCAACTGCTCGATACGAAACGAATTATATTTTTATTGATTTTTGCTTAGAATTGTATGTGAGCTCGGAAGCGATTGATTTGTCTTATTTTTACTTGAACACGGAATTCCACTTAGACACAAACTCTAAAAGATAAACTTCTTTTTTCTGTTGCTTTCCTTTAACCGTTCTCTCCTTTCCTTTTATCGTCGGTTATTTTCTACTCTCTCTGTCTATCGCTCACGCAATGCCATTTATTTGTCGTTTTCTCATCAACGCTCGAGCGGATTGAGAGAAATTTATTAAGGACTCCATTCTCTTGTGTTCAAGAAAAAATGTCAATATTTACTTATCCTTCAGGTATATTCATTGTGATATCTCGTTACTTACAACACGTAATTTTCTGCATCATTTCTCATACAATTAACAACTATATGGAATTAAATTATGTATTTCCAGCTCATTCAACCATTGCGATTCTTATTTCAGGCGTGTGGTTGTAGATTGTCTTTGAGTATGATATTGTTAAAATATATATGGAGTTACAGATACAGTTAATACCATTTTACTAATTATTAATATATTAGTTTGTGTCTTCTTCCTAAATCTGTGCTATAAAATCGTTAATAAAATTTTATATTTTTATCATGTCTTCAGCTGTGTCAAATTTAAGATGCTCCTAAATTTTATTGTTTTCAATTGACCTACTAATTTTTATTCAATAATTTAATTGCTTTCCATGTATTTCCATTCTATAGAATCAAATAAATTACGACTAAAAATAAACTAAACAAATTTAATTCCTACAAAATATAACAAATCAGCAATTATGACGTCACTTTTGAGAGCTAAAGTTAATGTTGATATAAAAGTTAAGTTTCTTAAATTAATGATCATAATGATTAACGAACATTCTGTTTATTGAAGAAATGTATATAATTCGAAAACCGGGTTTATGCAACAATATAAACCAGTTTTTGAGCCTAAACTTTGAATATAAAATTAATTTAATTATCTTATTAAAAGCATAAAATGAGAATATTGCTAAATACTAAGCTTCATGTAATAAATAGAAAATTGGAAAGGAATTAAGTCTTAATATTAAGAGATAAACGAGATGAAATAATTTATAGACCATAATAGAAATATTTATATACTTAGGTCTCAATGACAACGGTGCTTCTCACATGTAAAATTAAGCAGAATATTTTAAACTTGTATAGCTTCTTAAAGTATATCAATTGGGACTTCGGTAGCAAGTTTTTTTTTCTTTTTCTGGAAATTCTAAATGGAAAACGACATATTTGAGCAATTGAAAAATAGTAATTTATTGTTATTCATTTCTATATAATATTCTAGAATTTTATAGGTTCTGTTTTCTCAGCTTTTAAAAAGCATAGTTAAAAATTCGAAAACTGTTTTTTAAATCGGTTCTTGTATGTTTATATAAACCATAGCGAACATCGTCATCAAACGGACAATGTTCATTAACTGAACAAAGCAATATAGTCACCGATTGAGAGGGTGATAGTAGATTTTGACTAATTTAAAACAGTCAAAATTTAGTCTAAATTTGAACATTTTAGATTAAATTAGAAATACTTAAATGGTTTATTTTAGTCATCGTAGAGTCGTAAATCGAGGTAAAGTAAGTATAAATACCAATGATTGACTTTTTTAATTTTATATATAAATTATATTTTTTGTAATCGGTTTATTATTATGAAATATTATTTGACTTCATATAATGTATCATTTTCCAAAAGGAATTATATAATTTATTATGTATTTTTATAAATCAATCAAAATTTGCTACATAATATAAAAAAACATACATAAATCGTATACTAAATTTAAATTGTTGCAATGTGAGTTAGGATAGTCTTCAGAATGTTAGTATTCTGTTGATTATTTGAGAGTACGAATTGGTTCGAGTTTTGTACTTTATGGAATCAATCTTTGTACCGGAAGATAACCGAAACTATAATGCAACAAAACTATAAATCAAAAATATAGTTGGCGAGCCGACCAAAAGTTGAAAGCGCACGGAGTTCGTATTAATTATTATTTCGATCAGTGTTTACGGTAGGATGTGCAGCTAACACAGATCCCCGGTGTTTACCAACTGGAAAGTGTTTTCTGCACGGCAGCTTTACGCCTCCATTCCTTCACTAATTATAACTTACTTTAATCACCGTGTTTTCACTGCATCGAACCATTGACCCGTTTTCCATTGATCTTATTTGGTACTGGGCCAAAAAACATCGCTGATTAATCATTCGCGCCATCGAGAAACGCAGTAAGAGGATCAGAAGAAAAGGATTATGTATATACGTGCCCTATATAACTTACTAATAACATAATATATAACTTATGATAATTGCGCTCTAAAAGTCACAAAACAACTGCTATATTGATTATCGGATCTCTTTAATACCTTTATTTATATAAGTATTGAATATAAAGGTATATGAAGGATTAAATGTCAGCACTGTTGCTGATTTCATTTTATTACGTTCATAAATAACGGGGCTTAGTTTTAAGAAACTTCCTGCATATTTTCACAAACCGTAAATTATATGGTTTATTCAACAACTGGACATTTCCTTCATATTATTTCATAGTTAATCACACTTCAAAGTCTAGTTTTCAGTTAGACTTCACTTCAAATTTCGAGCAAATTTCATATTCTAAATTAATACTTTAATGTTTATGTTAAACTAAATTTCTATTAATGTTTATCAAATGTATATAACATTTAGCATTAAGTAAATAAATAAAATTATTAATTGAATAACAAATATTTATTTTTAATTACGCACTTAATTTTCTTGTACTTATATTAAAGTAACGGATTCTTAATCCGCAAGCAAAGATCTACGAGTTTCATAGTTTTTTCTTTTAATTATTTATGAAGTTTAAGGTTACAACAAATATTTAGATTACCAAATAAATTATTCATGTACTGAAATTTTACGTTTACTTTAATTTTCTCTTTACTAAAATAACATCCTAATTTTTCTAATTTATTGAATATTTTCATAAAACTATAATATTTGCTGTAAAGTACAAATAAATATGTTGAAAATGTACTGAAAAATGTTTTCTATATAAACTCAAGAAATACAAGAATCCACTACATAAGATTGGTTCTAATTTTAATGAATACTTAGATTATTGGATTATATTCTTTTAAAAATGAAATTGAAAGAATAAGATTCATAAATAATTCTTGTTTAAATGTTTATTTTATCACTTATTGAATCATTTGATTACATTAAATTGATGAAATTCAAAAATCAATAAGAATAAATAACACATTTTTATTACTCTATAATTTATTTTACACAGGTATTGATCTACACAGCTTTTTTTATAGTGATTAAGACCACAAGCTAAGATGAGCCCTCTTAGTAAGATCATTGACATTGCTATGGATATAATACTCTTGCATGGTTGGCATTGGCAAAATCTTAGTTGTCTTGTAAATAGGTTCTCCATACCAAGTACCAACTTCCCATCCAGGTACATTCTTCATGAGGTCGGCTTCCTCATCTCTGTTACGAATAAGCTGCTTCAAGAAAGCCCTGTCACGCTCAGCAGTCAACATGGGATAGACAGCAAAGTTTGCCGACCTATTCTCAATTTCTTCATAATGGACACTTTTGCAATTCAAATAATAGACATATGCAGCTCCAGCAGTCATGCCCAGGTATCCACCAATTAAAGCCCAGCCTAAAAAAGGTTATGTTATGTAATTGCAATGCAAAGTTTTAAGAGAATATATAGTAATATTTGAGCATACCGCTGAAAAATGTCTTCGCTGGGATTCTTTTGTATGGAATTGGCTTGTAGCCCCCGGCTGGGGGCATATCCTGACGCATTTTTGCAGAAACATCCATCTTCAGCCTCTGCAAAATCGAGTTGTGAGGTTATGTTCGGTTATGTTTGACATCTGTCAAAAAGCCAGATGGAGCCACAGATTCCTGACAAAAACGATTCCTACTTTTTTTTGATATAGAATCTTTCAGTCATTTCAAAATCGAGTAACATTAATTCGCAAATTTCTTCTCCTCGCTGGGAGATATAAAAACAATCGATATTTCTGTTTATCCTGGATAAAATCAATTGTTTCGTGAGCGTGGAACAACTGAGAGTTGTTGATTTGTGCGTCAAACAGGAAACTGCTTTGTATAAATCTCCGAGTGTGGCCTCCATCCGATAGATGTAGAAACAAATTTGTGATAATTCTAGAATGTTACAAACGCACTGTAATAAATGCAAATTGATAAGAAATTGTGATGGTGTCTAAATACATCTTAAAAATTGAAAATGGTATGACGATGACCAGTGAGGGCAGTACGGATTCCGTATCGAAGAGTGTAGATGATATTCTATTGAATTCTTGACCAGGGTAGAAACAGAAAATGTGAAGTGGAAATGAAGAAAATTTATAACCTAAATAGTCACCATAAGGAGGGACAAGAGCAGTCCAAAAAAATTTATAGGTAGTACATGTGACTGAATGTTTTTCAATTGAATTCTAACTTATATTTTGTTTTTCTTTTTAGATCAATAAGCGATCAAGGCAAACGTTTAGATGATGCAAGAGCATGTGCCAACAAAATTCTTGATCTTTTCAAGCCATCAGTCCAGGTGCTGCGCAGCAAACTGCAAGAGTACTGTGAAAGATTGATATTCAAAGAACCATTAACATTTGGTCTGAAAGCTGAAGAACACTTGTGGAGGAAGTGTTACTATGATGTGATCTCGACATCGAAGATCCTCAGAAATAAAGATTACACAATTGAAGAGAAATCTAGTCTTATAGCACACATTAATGCTGGTATAGGACATTACCATCATTTCATCTCTAAGCTACAAACAGAATACAATGTACCTTTGGAAGGGAGTGTTGATTTTTATCTTATTACATCCAAATCAGATGCAAATGATAAAATCCTCGAATGGGCTTCCATGTCCATTCATAGATCATTGATATATTTGGGAGACTTGTGCAGATACAAGCTTGAAATATACCCGAATTGGGATCCAAACCTAGCCATAAGATACTATTCTCAGGCGCTTCACTTAAATCCAGATAATGGAATGCCACACAATCAAATTGGTACATTGGCGTCTTCCCTTAATCAACATTTGGATGCCATATATCATTACATACAGTGTATGATGTGCAAAAAATCGTTTGAGGGTACCGAAAACAACCTGCATCGGCTATTTGAAAAGAATTCACAGTATTTAGAACAAATACCTATTGAAAATCCAGAAGCCGATTGCATAATAGAAATCGAGCCGAACGAACGCATTAAACGCTTTGTAGCCAGATTCCTTTTATTAACTGACATTTGGTTTTTTAATAAAAAAATCTCGCACATTTACGACCTTTGTCACCAAACGAACGTTGAATTACAGGAATGTTTGTCTTATTCAAAGCCAGTGCCCAGCGAGAGCAGCGGATCACAAAACGGCGATCAAACGGATTCGGATTCCGTGGTAACTCCAGCTTACTTATCCGCCGACATGATATTTAAAATAGTCGTTATTTGCCTTTTGTGCATTACAAAGCTTCAAAAGGAGAAGGACTCGCAGCATTTGTCCAGCATCGTCGCATTTACTTTGGCGGTGTATTCCCAATTAATACAACATACGTTGAATCACATCCAAGAAGGTGTTCTGAACAGTCAGATACCGGAAAAGAATCAGAAAAAGAAGGTTTTGCGAAGACGCAAGAAGTTTCTGCGCGACAGCGACGAAGAATCCGATGTAAGCGATATTGAGCTATCCGATTCTGAAAGTGAAGATGAGAGCATACCGGAAGTACTTGAATCCAGCTCGGAGGAGGAAGAAGAGGATCAAGTCAATAACGAAGAAATTAATAAAGAGGATGATTTGCAATCGCTTGCGGCGCTGCTGAAGAGGTCCAAACTTATAGACGTGGACATGATGATTGATATTGTAAAAGATGAGAGTTACATGCCGAGCATTAAGGTTCTATCCGACTGGTTGATGAACGATTTGGACGTATTACATTCATGCGGAAAGAATACGCGTTCGTTGTTCGGGCAATTGTGCAACTTGCTCAATTTTATAAACATCGACCAAAAGCGGATCCAGTCTAAATTGAAGTTGGATTTCGGAAAGAAGGAGAACCTGAACATTGCATTGCCCGAAGATTTGCTGCTGAAGGGCTGTAACATTAAGAATGCTCAGAGCGAGTTAAGATACGGAATCGTTTTGAGCAAAAACGATGAAATCTTCGTGAGATCAATGAAACTGATCTGCTTCGGGGAATATTTGGCACGGCATGTCGAAACCGGCGTTGGCTACGATGCAAAGAGCAGAGAGTTCTCTGTTATGATTGGATCGTCGGAGAACGAGCAGATGGATTCGCCGGCTATTTTTGATGAAATGGTAAGAAATAGGATTGCTCCTTTTATCATTATTATTCCGACTATTTGTTTAACATTTTACATTTGGCACACGGTTTATATAAATATTTATTTGCGGTTCCAAGTTAATTGCATCGTAAACAGATCATCGCACATCAAGAATTCACGCGAGCTTTTAATTTTTCGAATTCGGAAAATCTATTGCGTAATTGTTGCAATACGCCTAAACTTAAAATTATTATTTTATGGACCTTAATATACTATAAATAATTACTTTTCCGTAGAAAGCTTATAGTAATAAAGTTAAAGTCAAATTTAATTTGTTATTCGACGCATTCACATGCTTTTACAAATACTAAAACGCAATAGTGCATAAAATTATTTTTTAAGGATCTTAATACAATTTTCTTCTAGAATATGCCGAAATTTATATTTTTTTCTAATATTAAAATTCAAAATTGTAGAACGGACAAATTTTACTTAAAAAGCATATTTTTTTTGATTTAAAGAAAAAAATAAGAGTCGAAATATTAATAAAAGATTCTCAAAATACTGTAATTTAATAAAGGTTCGTTATGTAGTATCAAGACTAGTAAAATGATTAATTTTGTGAGTAGTGTATATGGTCCTATTCTTGAGCTTAAAAAACTTAATATAAAACTAATGTTTGATATAAAAAACGTGTTGTATTACAATCGGGAAAATTTGTATGCAATTATATCGGCAACATAATTTTTAAATTTAATATTTTCAATAACTCACACTTAATTTATAACTTATAAAATGTAAATTAAGATGTTAATTATTTCATGTTTCTTTGTACGTTTCTATTTTAATATGGTCGTAAACATTTATTACACTTAAATCAAAGTTTCTAAGGAGAATGTAACTGTTTTCAATAAAGGAGTTCTAGTTTATGAGCCATTTGAAGTAATCTAAGTAATTGTATATTGTGGAATTCCTCATTCCTTTAATTATTGCTCATTTTAATTACAATTTAATAAACATAGTATTAAGTATAAGTTCGTTATCGAGGTACGTTGAAAATGATTGTTAGTTTTACCGTGGTGAAAATCGTTTAAATAATTATGAAGTGTAATTGGATGGGTGTGAAAAATGGGTCTTTGCAAATTGGGTGCGCAAGTTTCCGGGATCGTGATTCAAGGGAGGCGGAAAGTAGTTAAAAGATAGTTAAAACGTGTGGGCGCTGGTGTTTTGCGGGTTCGGAAAAGAGGGGTTGTATTGTATGAGAGGGCGAGGGCCATCTGGGGGGCGGTTGATTGCTCAAGAGAGGGAGAGAACGGGGGCGGCGGCAAATATCGCGGGCGCTCATTACGACGCCGCGGATCCGGAAACAGCGAGGATGCGAGTCCGGAATGCGTCCGGAGAGTTTGTTCGTGCAGCGAAATGCGCCCGATTCCATATAGATGCAAATGAGTCTGGTGCGATTTCAGAGGCAATTTTCGCGAAATGCGCGTAATTACATTACTTCCGGTTTGTAGAGCCGACGCGACCCGCTTTGTTTAATTAAGACAACCCCTTTTCGGAGCATGCATATATATAGTAGTCACCGCGACTGCCGCTGCTACCACTGTCACCGCCGCCCCTCGCCTCTTGACGCCTCCACCCAAACCCCTGGGGGAGGCTTTTATTTTACGTATCCCTAAAAATCACGCTCCGCATAGATAATTGAATGAAAATCCGAGGGAGGGTTAATTTAATAAGCATTCAAAACGGCTGCTGCTGCTACTAATTTTATTTATAGACTGGTGGGTTTGAATCAAACTGGGAATATATATACATACATATTTTTCACCGCTGTTCAGTTTCTATTGTTTTCATTTTACGTGGTTGCGTTGTATTTATTTTTTTTTATTATTATTATTTCCGGTCCAGGAAATGCCGGATGCTGATGCGAACAATGCGCAGTGCAAACAGGAGAGAGAAACGAAGGGCCAATTGATGAAGAACATGGGACAGCTATGGTTGGCGGCAGAGGTGAAGGATTTAGAGTTGCGAGTGAAGGGGAAAATGTCGCTATCTCCATATTTGGTCGTCGACGTGGAAGCCTTAATCAAACACATTTATATGGTTAAGCAGCTAGTCTACTCGAAAAAGTTCATCGTGTTGGTGCCGTCTGCTGGTAAGTTAATTGCATGTTTATGTAAATATTGGAGTTGGTTGAGGGGTGGAAGCAAGAATAGTGAGGAGGGACGAAAAAGGGTGACGAGTCCATGTTTTCAATTTGTTTGCAGTGCTGTCCGCCCTTGATGATCAGAAAAAGGAGAAGCCGGAGGCGAGGGAAGCGATCCGATGGTTGGAGAAACAGTTCGGTCAGGGCAATAGGTTTTTCCGGTCGCAGAGGCCGCAGGAGCATCGTCCCATTCCGTTCATCAAATATCCCAAAAAGAAGGACAAGGATGCCTTCATTTACATACAAATTATAGAGTGCTGCCATTACTTGGTGGAGCAACAGAAGGGCGCCACCAATTTAGTCACGCTCCTAATGGGCGACGTAAACGCTTTGCATAACACGGAAAACAGGGAGATTAGCTACGTGGGATTAGCCCAATCGGCCGGCGTTAATCTCGAGGTGATCACCGATTTTTACGGCAAATGGAAGAAGGGTGGCAAAAACAAGAGGTGAACACAAAACGGGAGTCGTGGGAACGGATTCCTGGTGGATATCTATCTGTCACTCTTTTGGCACGGGAGTAGCTTACGAAAATTGGAGTACGTCGACGGGGCGGAAATATAGTTCTTTTAGATTATTTTATTATGATTTTTTTTACAGACAATTAATTTTCAGGGATCAAAGCCATATTAATTATGTTTTATTTTATTATTGAAATCAGAAAAGAAATGGTTGGAAAAGCAATTCAAGCCTATGCATTTTGATTAGTTTCGATTTTAAGTTTTATTTCTGTTTCTCCATATATTTAATAAAGATTTAAATATTTCGCTAATATATTGTCTTGTTTTTTTTTTTAAATACCTGTTTACTTTTTTAATGAATTTTATAGTTGTAAACTGCATTTATTACGTAACTATCCAATTATTAGATACACCACATTAATGGTGCTAATAGTTTACAAAGTCAAATGATGCAGTTCTATCCGAGTTACGTATTGCTTTTTAACGATGTGAACGTGAACTAATTTAGTTTTCCAAACCTATTTTGCAACCGAATTTTTATTGAACTAGATAAAATTCAAAACACTTATTCTAATTCTGTTTTCAAACAGTTAAAAAGCAATAAAATACTATGTCAACAATTTTAAGTATAATTAATATGAATCAAGAATTACAATAAAATTACCATTGATAGTTTGTAAATATGAAAATATACTTTCATATTTACTCTTTCAAATTGAAATTTAAGTTGATAATTGTCTATATAGTGACTAGTTCTTTAAAAAAACTTTCAACACACTATTTTACTATGTGAATGGTTCATAAAATCAAAGGTGAGTTATTTACTAACAAAAATACTTATCTTAATATAATATGTTAAAGCATTTAATAATGTAACGGTAAGTAAAAAAATGTTTACATCTTCAAAATGTTTATAACAATATTTCATGATGCAAATTTCTAATATATTTGTAACTATTTATACAATCAATATTATTCATATATGATTTAACTTGACGGTAAACTTTAAATTATTTGATAAAAGCAATGTAATTATAGTGTTGAATATACGGAATATAGTATAAGTCAATAATTTTAATACCAAACTTTATTAAATCCGATAGAAAAGAAATGTTAGAAACTATAGCAATAAAACTCGCAATTCTCCGCAGACTGCCAGTTAATTTATAAAGTTATATTAAAACGCAGTGAAGCTACGGTATATGAAATATAATCAGCAACACGAATCTACAATAACACATATAAAATTATTGAGAATTCGAAATACTTGTAAAATATATTATTAGAATCAGCAATAACAATCTTATTGCTAAAGAATTTCGAGATAAGTATAATTAGTTAGAAATATATTTATAACATTTGTTATCGTAGAGTTAAGAAATGTTAGACATCTATCTTCGAGTTAGAGTTAAATTAGGTTGGACATTATTCATCGCGTTGTGCAAACGATACTAGTATATAATTCACATGTCAGTAAACTAATGTTCCACATCAACTGAGAATCTACTAATCTTCGAGTTAATTGCCTCTTGCAAACGAGACGTTGTCTATATTGAGTATATTTAGTATGTTTGATTTACAAGTTTTAATAGTTACTTCAATTTAGACAATCCAATAATTTTAAGCTTATTTTAATTAATAAGTATAAAATTAACAAAAAGTACATATTTTATAACACAATTTGTACTAAGTCGGATACTGAAAGTTTTGTTGTGCTGAACTTCGTTTAATAATAAGATAAAACACAAAATAAACTCAAACAAATTGTCTGTTTTATTACAATGAGATTGTATTTATACCCAATCGAGTACAATCCGAGACAAATGATTCAATTTGTGATTTATCAGGTAGTTGATATAGTAAAGCTATTTTTATATTAATTTCTAAGTTCAGAAATTTGTGAATTAGAGAATAAATATTATTCACCTTAATAGATTAACTATGATTTGATAGAGTAAAAATGAGCACTCACTTAAAATAAATTTAATATACATTCTATAATATATACATGATTATTTACGTCATTTTGACCGAATTTGCGTATGAATATCCATAGAAATATACAATTTCGTAATCTGTCACGGAGCATTCATTTACATTTTTTGTGTTAATTCGTTCACACGAACGTAATCAACATTTATACCAACGTACATTTTGCCGTCGGAATCATATGTATGCATATACTTATTTCCATTTTAATTTAGACCGTGATTTAACCATATTTGAAACGTTAAAAAGATGTAAAGGACCGTTATAGGTAGATTGATTTTTGGTTTGTTTGAAAAAACAATACAGTTAATATGCACGTGTTAATTGTTTCGCAACTACATTTTATGTTTAGAAGAAAAAACAGATAATTTGAAGTATTAATAATGAAGTAATAATATAATCTTAACAAGCAGAAGAGGATAATTTGGATGTGCTAATATTTATAATTCTGTGGGGGAGCGCTCGTGGTGGGAAGGGTGTTGGTTGGTAATGCATTCGGGATCGATGGAATAAACTATGGGCTTTGTGTATATGCGACAAGCGGTTATATTCTATACTAATATGTAGTGTTTAGTAACACGGCTGGCGGTTAATTTAATGTTGATAGAGTGCGGCAGCGCTAGCTAATGAGCAGATAGGTGGTTGCGGGTGTGAACCGCTAGTGGTCATCGGAATCGCTCTTCTCTCTTCATTATACACGGCCGCATTGAATAAACTATAATAGCTAATGGTCTGGCTTGTCATTCATTCGACTTTAGCCTGACAGCTTTATAAATGTTAACGTGCCGTGTTATTATTGAATGATACCGCATAAACTGCAATTATATTCCGAACATGATATTTCACTATATCACGCCAGACGAAGAAAATAGCCGCTCCATCCGAAAACTTCCTACACTCTCTCATTTTTTTTCTCTCTCTTTTTAGTTTTCTTATTTCTCTCTTCATCAGCTTCGTTCGCTTCTGGTCTAAAACACGAAATGTTTTGCAAACAAAAAAAAAATGCACGTGTACAACGTTGTGTATATATATATATACACATACACACATAAAGTTAACTGAGGTAATAAAATAAGGAAGTAGTTGGGTAGTTGTCAAAGGTTGGAAGCTCTCGAGCAAACCGCTTTGCCAGGATCAAAACAGGCATCGGGGGTGCAGTGAATCATGATGGTTTGGTGGAGGTTCGTGACCATTGTTCCGTGGGTAATGGACTCCTCGCGCGGTAAATCTTTGAGCAACGTTATTTAATTCGCTCACGACACGGCGTTCGCACGCGATCATCATCATTGTGTGGGGCGGTGATATAGACGGTGCGGTTACACATCACGCTAGGTACCAGCCGTTCCATACCACGACGAAGACATAAATGAGACACCCCCATGGAAACGACCACCCACTCGACACATCCACACTAATTATCCCACAATTCATATACACTTGCTTCGGAACACCGAAAATAACTCGACTCAACTTACTTGGTAATTGTCACGCTCCGCACAGGGCTTCCATCTATTCATCCTACTTCTTATTTTATTTATTTTTTTCCCATTCCTATATCTCTCTTACTCTTTCAACACGCACCTCCGAAAGTCAATCTAGAAATAAAAATGAGATAATCATTTTTTCCCCCTTCATCTATAAATATGAAATACTGAAATACTTTAAGAAAACTTTTTTAATTATAGCTTCTCGTCACATACTCGCCTGCTTAAAAGGTGACATGCACTTAAACGAAACATAGAATCTTATCAAAGAAAACTATGTAAAATAATAGACATATGGAAAGTTTTGAATAATATTGATATATAGTAAGCGCTCAATTAACTTACTCAAATTACCATATTCTATGGGAATGTACGTTAATAAAACGATTAATTTTGATATATCTTCACGAACGTACTAGATGTTCATACTAACGTTCATTTTTTATCGGAATGTTGTAAATAATATATCAATTATTATCAAACGTACCTTAAATTAATGTACGTTATTGCATTAATTAACTTCAATGAAATGTTTTTTTTTCTCAATTTGATCTACATAATATTATTGTAGATTTTTTTTTAAATAAAAAGAAGTAAAGTATAGAAAATACAAAGAGAATCAATTTCTTCGGTTGGATTAGTTTCGGTGAACTTAATCTTAATAATGAGTTTATTTATATATTAAATTAATCTTAGATGCTCGCCTTTTGCAGATAATGCAAACATCTTCAATAAATTATGTATTTTTATACTTTTCCAGGCAGAAAATAAACTACTGAACGCGATACACATAAAACGTAGATGATATATATTGCCATAGTATCAGCAAATAGATTCTTGGAAACCGTAAAAGTGATATTAAGAAAAAAAAAATATGGAAAATTCCTGGAACATAATTCTCCTGTTAAATGTATTGACAATAATTGAATAAATTTACTCGGTCATGCACTTAAATAAATCAAAATTAATTGTAGGAGTTGAAGTTCTTTCTTATCGTCAGACTACAATTGTTGTGCTGTTGTTGTTAAATTTTGTTTATTTGAAAACATGATAAACAATACCACTTTTTGTTTTGCTCTTATGTTGAAACAATGCATAATTCAAAAACACAAAGAATTCAAACTATTTCTAGGAATAAAATACTATTGTTGCCATTACTAGAAAGTTGTATTAGAAATCAATCAATCATTTTTAATTACGTATAAAATCAATAGTTTATACCTGGAAAATTGACATTGAACGTTTGTAAATAATGTTTTTAAGGTAAACATGCATTTTGATTATGTATGATTAGTAATCAACAGTTTTTTTTACAATTAGTTACATAAGATACAAATCCTGTTTTCTTATATAATTGTGAATTGTGCTATAATAATTATTTGATTTTCTTTAAAGAAATTAAAATTTGAATATAAATTAATCAATTGTTGTTTGTGTATGTCACTGATGAAAACATTAAATTGTGTAATAAATGGTTATATTAATAGGTATGTTGATTAAAAATATTTAAATTTTTAATTACCAATTATATGAATAAAAAACTGGTTATAGTAGTTTTCATTTCATTGTAAATTGTATTTATTATACTTGACGTCAATGGAAGTTTCAGATGTAATCACTGAGAGTAGACAATAGATAAATACCAATTAACTGATAAATTATATAAAATAATAATCTTGAATCTGTGATTATATCAATATTTTCGAAAGGATGAATATCATATATTATCAGTTGTCGATATCCTGCGAATTGATATTCCTCGCATACGGATAGAGTTACCTAAAGAATTTTGAAG